CAGAAATTCCTGACTCATCCATTTCTATTCCTGGTTATAATTTATTCCGCAGGGACCGAATTGAAACGTCTGGTGGTGGTGTGTGTGTGTGTACGTAGACCAAAATATACCATGCAAACTTTTGGAATTCAGTGATCAAACGGAGCTCGAATCAATATAGATATCAATGAGACCACATAGTTTACCAAGAGAAGTTACATCAATCGTAGTAGGCGTGGTCTATCATTCGACGAGTAGTGGGAAACCTGAGAACATTATTTTACGTGATCATGTTCAAAAAAATCTTGATGCTGCGTTACTTAAACAGCCAAATGCATTAATTATTCTAACAGGCGATTTTAATCCAACTTCGACTGGTTTTAATAAAAAATATATAACCCAAGTGAATAGCCTTAAACAGTTGGTTACCTTTAAAACAAGAGATTCTGGTATTTTAGACTGGCTGTTTACGAACAGATCTAAACTGTTCTCTTTAACCCAGCTACCTAAGGTTGCATCATCTGACCATTATTCAATTCTGGCAAAGCCTATACTTGGAGGTGAAACTAAACTAATAAGTAAATCTAAAATATGCGATATGAGGGATAGTGTGTGGTGTGTGCTAGGTCGATGGATTACTCAAAAAGATTGGTCCTCTGTCCTCGAAGCTAATATGTGTAAAGATAAATTTGATCTTTTTAACTCAGATCTTAACCAGGCTATTGATAGATTCCTTCCACAAAAAGAGGTTAAAAAGCACCCAACAGATCGACCATGGATCACTACTAAGATAAAAAAAGGGATTCAAAAACGCCAATCAGCTTTTATCCAGCAAGGGAAAATGTCAACAGCATACTGATATTGGAGAAACAAAGTCCAACGTTCCATTCATGCAGCAAAATACCAATATTATAGCGTTAAAGTTACTGATGTACAAAGAGTTAATTCCACAAAATGGTGGTGAGAAATTAAAAAACTCTCTGGGCAAAGTTCAAAACTGGAATGGCACCATCAGTTTCTAGAAAATAGCTCTGACACTAAGTTACTAGCTAATAGGATTAACAACTTCTTTACTGGCCTTACTGTTGATTTTGAGCCCTTAACCCCACTCATTGTATCCCATGAAGTTCCACAGGATTTCTTTGTAACTGAAAACGAGGTCTACAGAGCATTATCATTGCTCCAAGTAAATAAATCAGTCGGTCCTGATTACATCCCGAATAGAGTCCTGAAGGAATTCGCGCATGAGTTGGCACCTATCATCAAAGATATTTATAACCAATCAATGAAAGAGGGATTTATTCCTGAACTCCTCAAATCATCAATTGTTATTCCAGTACCGAAGATCAACCCCCCTAGAACCATAGAAAATGACCTCCGACCTATCTCGTTGACATGTACCATAGCAAAGGTCATGGAAGGTTTTACATGCACAAGACTCCTACCTCAGTTAGAAGATAAGCTGGATCCGCGCCAATATGCTCGTAAAAATCATTCAACAACAGATGCTCTACCATATACATTGCAAGCAATCTACGAAGCAGTGGATACTGGTGAGGCCGGAGCACGCTTATTCTTTGCTGATTTTTCTAAAGGGTTCGACCTTATTGATCATACCATCCTTCTACACGAACTAGAAAACTACAAGTTCATCCTGCACTTTTGAATTGGATCGCAGCCTTTTTAACCAACCGTATGCAGGCTGTTAAAATTGATGGAGTTCTATCAGACTGGAAATCAGTGAAGGGTGGGGTTCCTCAAGGAACTAGGCGTAATTCTCTTTATTGTCATGACAAACGGATTGCTCTGGGAATGGAATCTTCGGACTAAATTTGTCGATGACACATCCGTACTGGAGATTATTCCAAGAAATTCCATTAGCGTCCTAAACAATGCTGCTGCTGACATACATAATTTTGCCATAGAGCATAATATGAAGCTAAATCCTACCAAATGCAAATAAATGCTTATTAATTATTATTATTACTACGCAATCCAAACTTTCTGATTAAACCTATACAAATAGGTAACTACGTTATAGAACAAGTGAAGACTTATAAGATCCTAGGTGTGATCATGAGTAGTGATCTAAAGTGGAACTGTCATGTTGACCACATTATCAAGAAAGCCAGTACGAAACTATATTCGCTAAGGGTACTGCGTAGAGCTGGAGTCGAAAATGATAATATCTTAGAAGTTTATTTAACTACAGTACGACCAGTGCTGGAATACGCCGTACCGGTATGGCAAGCCATCCCAGACTATTTGTCTGAGGCAATCGAAGTCGTGCAAAAGAGATCACTTAAAATTATCTATCCTGAGTGTGATTCGTACACAGATGCACTATATCTAGCCGACATTCCTACACTCAAGAGTAGAAGAGATCTATTGTGTGAGAAATATATGGACAAAATGAAATCTAAAGACCATCCCCTACATAATCTACTTCCAAAACCGGTCGTCTTTGAGAATCAGCGTAATCTGAGAAGGAAATCAGAACAATTTTACCTATTTAAAAATAATACGGTCTGTAAAACAAATAGAGCACAATCCTTTTTTACTTTTAAATTTTGCCATTAATACTGTTTAATTGAATAATTAGAAATATGCTGTAAATATTAGGAATAAATAATATTAGTATAAACCTACTAGTAGGCTATCATGTATCGTGCGTTGTGATTGGCTACGCTACTAGTAGGCTATTAGTGATAGCCTACTAGTAGCAACAAGCGGCAAAGGGCGCGAGATTCAATGGCCGTTTTTAAGTTTTAAAAGCTGCATTTAAAGGAAAAACTTATCAAAATGGCCTAATTTTGGTTCTGGATTACACACAAACAAAGACTCTTGGAAACTGCTGACAGATGCGCTAAAATTTGTAAGTTTTCTCAACTTTGCTCGTTGTTTAGAGCTTGAAAGTGAGAGGCGATTTTTTAAAATATATGCACAATTATTGTTAATATTCCAAGCAGAATCGTTGAAATTCAACAATACTTTGTAGCTATTTACCCCTATTTTCTCAGTCTGTTTAGTGCGTGCTTGTTTTAAGTACGAGTTCATGTATTTAGCTGTCATTTTAAAGATTTTTTTTCGTTTAAATGTTGAGAGTTTGGCCGAGTTTGTTTTTCGCCTTTTCGAGCCTGTTTAAGTCGTCGAGTTTTTCGATTAAGTTTTAATCTAAACTACATACTGTCTATGTAATGTATACTAGATTATAGAAATGGTTTTCCTCTTTATGTTCCAGATATTTTAACGATTTCAACGACATTCGGATGATCGGATTCTTTTGTGCGTGCATTTTTATGTGGCTTTTTAACGTGAACTTTATTTATTAATTTAGTAACAATTCCGGAAGCTATTTTGTGTTCGAAATTTTCGACATTTTAAGCCTTGTTTCCTTCTTTTACAAAAGTTTTAATTAACCAAACTTTGCTTCTATAACGGTCTCTTACTAGTATACTGTTTTACGACATGTTTTTTAACTTTTTTAAAACTCACAAGCTGTATTTTTTAATTCATTCTTGGAGTTGGGAGTTCGCAACACTGAATAGTTGTCAACAAAGCCGAGGCGAAATGTCGCCAAAGGAAGCCATTTAAACGCTCATTTCGTTAAAACGTTATAATTTTACATAAAAATCAAGTGAAAAATTCCGTTTTCTTTATGTGGTTTATACTAAAACAATTAGACAACTCAGCCTCGTTGTCTCTGAACGAATAGTCAACTCGGCTTCGCCTCGTTGACTATTCGCTCATAGACAACTCGGCTTCGTTGTCTAATTGTTAAATAGTCTAAATTTGAACATCTTAATATGAACATTACCTTAGAAATATTATGTAAATTTTACTAGTAAGCTCGTTAATTCAGTTGTATAGCTGCAAGAGAGTTTTAATAAACATCAATAATAGTATACGGGACAAAGCACCTACCGCATGCCCCATAAGGGCCAAAGCATCTATTGTATGCGAAAGGCGTGGTTTTCGTTTCTGTAGGCGTTGTCAGTAAACTATCGCATGCCTTTAACATGCCAAAAGTACCTTGTTGAATAACTTGTTGGATGTTACTCAACCGTATGTCTGCGCTCTTTTTGGAGTTGTTCCTGCTGCTCCAGATTTCAGGGTTGACACTGGGTACCGTCAGTTCGGCGCAGTTTTCTGGCTTGGCATGTTTTGCCAATAATGTCTTAAGCTTATCATTAGCAATCGGTTTACCCCATCATTTGATGGCGATATCTGCCAGATTTTGTGCGACCTTAGGTCCAGTTTGTTCATCCTCGTTGAGGGCATTATTGAGCGAGTCTAAAAACTTGATTTCTGCTGGGTCAACGGAAGCAGGAGTATCATTGATGGTATTATTGTCACCATTGTTGGTTTGCCCTGCATTACTGTCCGTGTTCTCGCCGGTGGCGACGGATCCGTTTAGAAAATCATGAATGTCGTTATCGGACGGCACAATACTTAAAGCGTCGTCATCAACGCGAAGCTGTTTAGGCGGGAAATCCATTGTGTCATCCTCCGATGGGTCGGACTCCGATGAAGCCCTCCGATGTTTATGTTTCTTAGATTTTGTGGTACGGGAAGACATACCCTCGTTGCTGACAAAACTATGTAAAGCGGCAGCCAAATTGCTAATGCCCTCCTTGATCACGGCCAACGTTTGGCCAATGTTCTCGTCAGGTTGAGGGTCGCGGTCGGGTCGACCATCAATGGGATCATATTGGTCCCTAGAATGCCGAGTATTGGTCATATCTTGCGAATGAGCGTGGTCAGGTTCAACCTCGTACCCAGGGTCCCCGTAGTGGGACCCTGGCAAACTCAGATTGTGTGATGTCACAAATCTTGGAAGATTACGTAATTTGTAACTTTATGTTCCGGGGGGCGATGGCCACTTTCACTGTGACTGTGCAAGCAAACTTTGCGAAGGGTGAATGCAAATAAATTCATAATATGAAATAAAAGATACATAAACACAAAGATTCTTCTTACAATTTCGTTAACTTACTGGCAATCTACATAATTTCGCTAATCTTGTCTATCGAAAGGATTCGAAGAACGGAAGAAGTATGAAAATTGACAATTTAAAAAGATGAATCACAATCAAAGATTGGCTATTTATGATAGATCCTAAAAGCCATTTAATATTAACAGGAATGCTTTGATACATAAATTATAGCCTATAATGGACTCATTATTGGATAAAAAAGACACAACTTTAATTATTTTAAAGAACCTGACTGGCAAGGCTATGCATTAAGTGTATAAATTGTATGTATATTTTATTATTAAAATACAGTTCTTAAATTTTTAAATTGATTTTGTCTGTCCTTATTTTTTTATCATCATTGATGCTGATTTTTGAAAATACCACTTCTAAAGCACATGTCTATGTTATTATATTGTGGAATTTTTCAATTTGACATGCATGTAGAAATTTTAAATATATAATTCATATAATTATGATGTACAGTAATGTGTAAACAAAATCCTCATATAGTTTATACTTGTATTAATAGGGATTGTCGACAAATAAATTGTCCTTCAATTGCAGACTTGTTCTGCGATTGTTTCAACCCCCTTTCCCATCACGGATGAGTGGAGGTCTATATGTTCATTGTAGTTAAATTTTATAATAGATATTAATAGTACAATCTTATCTACAAACATGCATGCTTTGCCGTTCAGTGGCTGTGATCAATGCAGCTTATTGGTATGATATAACACCCTTTCCCACTTTTATTGGACAAGTTCGCAAATGAAGAACAAAATCTGTTTATTCTCAGCCCCCCCCAAAAAAAAGTTTGCGATCTTTATTCAATATGAAGAATCCAGCTCAAAATGTGACAAGGAAAAGCTTGGGCATGTTTGTCTTATACTATACATAGGCCTACTGGCAATAGATCACACAAAAATAGAAACTATAATATATAACTAACATAACAAATTGTAATTGAATTGTACCTATTTCTCACAAAGGTCAGTTACTGAATTATCTTAAAAAAGTACTGGTAGGATGCATGCTGCATACCCTAAATTTCAAAGCTCACAAACATATATTTAGCTGAAAAAACTAACATTTGAAACAACTAACTCAATGCAAACTGTGATTGCCAGGTTACCAAATAATCAAAAATCCTGGACCTGGCCTTTTTTGGCAATGGCATACTGGGGGGGGGGGACTTAAAATCAGAAATATTTTACAAATATAAGTTTTATCAAAGTCAGCTGTTTAAAAGGATTTTTATTGGCTGGCGTTTAAATTTTAACCCATTGAGTCGCATTGTACCCTACTTTATTATTTTACTCTGTTCAACACCAGATGATTTTACTCATCAAGGGGAGATCATGCAGGGGCTTAATGGTTAACTGGTCTAACTGCCCATGTGTCCAGTTAACCCACTGAGTCGCATTGCGCCCTACCTTACTATTTACTCTGTCTAATACCAGATGATTCAACATCAGATGATTTTACTCGTCAAGGGGAAAGCGCTGCCGCATAAGGGGTTAACCAATATGTTTGATCTTGGTACATGATTTATTAAATTTTTGATATCACAAGTGATATTTTGAAGTGGAAAGTCATCCGCCACGGAAATGTATAAATCTATATACTATACTGCAAAGCTCTGGATAAAAAAAAAACACTATCAGGTAGTGTAATACTACCATTATGTAACAAATATATTCTCATACTGCATATAATGTTTACTCAAACTTAAATATTATTTACTGTATCAACTCTTTCTCAGCTGGGTCCATTACGCGTAGAACGTGCACGTTCTACGGATGTAATTCGTTCATATCTTTGGTTCAGTGCACACTGTGTAGATGAAAATACCACCATTCGATTCAGTATAAAAATATACACTAATTTATAATGATAGTTTTAGTCAGTGGCTAAATTGTAGCGATTTATGAGCTTTGAAAGTCAAGCGAGCTTGGTATTTGATCAAATTACACAATATTACTAACAAATTATAAACATAGACATACCTTTCGCCGAACATCACTTCGGCCCCTTTAGACGTATGCTCATTCTGGTAGTCTTGATCAATGAAGCCGAATTTTGCATTTCTGCCCCAAATTTGCATTAATCCCAACCGGAAATACGACAAAAAAACGTCAAAACAATGCGAAGTTTGTATCGCGTGACTCTGGAAATGCCAGAAATGGATTCTACAGGTCAAAGTGCACCTATACGTGTGAGTTTGACGTCATCCCGGCTAAAGGGAGCTCCTTATTGGCCAAGTATTACGTAATACAAGCGCGTGCGAGTAAAACCTGATACCTTGAAAAATTCAAAATAAATATTTCTACTCGCCGTATTCATACGAAACTTTCTACACGAAAGCGCTTGAATACAAAGAGTATTTTACACATATATCCTTTCAGAAAATGTCGCCAAAGTTTAGAATCTATTCAACTTTTTCTCTTTTTCTCGTTTGAATGTTTGGCGAAGCGGTGAGTATAAATATATGATTGTTTCGGTTTGTGTAATGTTTTGACGGCACTTGACCCCCCGTTCGAAAGGTTATATTGTGAGGATTTCAATGGTGGCATTTATTTAAAAGGGGGGTAAATACTCGCCGAGATATTTATATTAGAAAAATTGAATCGAAATGTAATACGAAATTACCGGCTGAGAAAGAGTTAATATAATATATAAATTAAACAATATTTTAATTAATAATTTAACAATTTGACTATTCAATTAAGTTTTGAAAATGCTATAACTTTAATTTTCAATTTGTCTGATACTTAGTCATCTTGGCAGTTTGAATAATAATTATGGTGTAAATGTTTTCAAACAATGATAGGTTCTACGGTTTAAACATGATATATAGAGCTAGCTGTGTTCTTGATGCAACTGCATGATCATCATGCAAAGATGGTAATGGCTTAAGAAACAACATCAACAAGAAGAGACTCCTCTTGTACTTCAAGTCATCAAATTCTTTTCACAAAATTTTTTTCAAAAGGTCTCAGATCTGAGATGTGAAGAGACTATCAAGTAATAATGGTACAGGACCCGAAGAAGATCAAACCATTTGAGAGAAAGCCAAGCTACGCCAACAAGTGGACTTTAAAATTGACATGAAGTCTTTCCATGGCTTGAAAAGCATAGCATAAGAAGCTGCAAATTGCAATGGGAAAGAACAATTTGTAGACATTCAAATTTGAGTAAACATTATATACAGTATGAGAATATATTTGTTACCTAATGGTGGTATTTAATACAGTACCTGGTTTTTTAACCATAGATTTTTATGAGAATTTTATAGATTTATATATTGCTCAATCGAACAACTATTAATTGGCAATTGCTCAAACGAACAACTATTAAGACTTTTAGGATTACAAAAGCATTGTGCCCGCTTAATCCTTGATGCGAATCCATCTGATAATTCAGTAGCATTATTTAATACATTAAAGTGGATTCCCATAGATGACACTATTCGTGTACATAAATTGTGCATGATGTATAAAATAATCAATAAAATGTGTCCACAGTATTTTGATAACTATGTAAGTTATGTTAAGAATCGGCATGAATATTGTACTAGAGCATCTTCTAATATGAAATTAGTTGTACCGAAATGCCATACAAGATCTGGACTTCGTTGTTTTCATGCTAGTGCTGTTCGTCTCTGGAATGAACTTAATGTGGATAGTATGAATATTAATGGGTTAGGTAAGTTTAAAAAACACTTAGTTAATAAAACACTTTTAGTAAATGAAAGTTGTGATCACTTTCTGGTCACACAGACATTCTAATTGAAATATGTAGATATTGTAATTTAAACTATATATATTTTTGGACCACAATGTAAAATACTGGTTTACCAGTAATTTGTGTAATCCTATAATACAGTTCATTTCCATGGCATGATGGCGAATCATGAGTTCAAATTCTTCGATATTAACCAGTAATTGAATGACTTTCCACTTCAAAATATCACTTATGATATCAACATTTGATAAATCGTACGACAGGTGCAATAAAAATCCTTTTAAACAGCTGACTTTGATAACTACTTTGAGAAACTTCCAGTTTGTGAAATATTTTTTATTACGAGTCTTCCCCCCCCCCCCGTTATGCCAATGCTAAAAAAGGCCAGGTCGACAATACTCCAAGATTTTGGGATTATTTGGTAACCTGGCAGTCAGAGTTTGCCTGGGTCCCTCCACGTGCACCAGAACCTTTAAACACAGGGACCCTGGGTACGAGGTTGGGTCAGGTTGACCGCCGTCTTGGCCGGTTAGGCCGCTAGTATGATCAGGTTGACCTAGACTTATAGGGCTTTCAGAAGTTGCGTACCACTGTTGAAACTCATAATATTTTACGTAACACGAAAAATTAGAATGCTAAATAAAGCCTGAAAAAGACTAACTGATAAACAATTATCAAAACTAGTCTATGTTACTCACGTAACCAAGCGATATAAGTCTTGCTAGAAGAATAGACTTGGAAGTTGCTGTTTAACAAATCCTCAACAATGAAGACTTCCTTGATGTTGCGGCTAAGAAAGTGTGTGTACAATGGCTAGGAAAGTGAGTGTGTGCTTCTCATAGTACTCTGTAGTGACGTAGACGGATGACGTATAGAATTGCCAATTTTTGAATCTTGATATAGACTAGATAATTCTAAACATAATTTCACTGCCATCAGTGGCCAGTTAAAGGAGCTGTGTCACCGTCTGCGCATCCCTTCTGCGCATACACAAACTTGATAAAGTTGGGCCACCTTTTTCAAGTTTGAGAATCCAATATGGCATCCATACTAGGCACTACTCATGGCGGTACAAGACAGAATTACGGCCGAAAGAAAATGTTTTCAGATAAAAAGCAGCACAGGAAATCATGGGGTGAGACACACAGAAGGATATACTTGACATTGAATATATTCAAAACCTGGTCCGATGCGAAAATAATGGCTGGATATGAGCGATCAACTGACAGCGATTTTGCCTCTCACTTATTATCTTTAGAATTTCGTAGAAGGTAAGTTTCCTGACAATTTTTTTTTATTTCTCTTTTACTAAATGTAACCGGCAAACAACTTACTTACACATATTTTTTTCGCCCAATTGAAGATCTAATCCCGATATTCCACGAAAACTGAGTCAAAGTATATCTCTAAGTATATCAACCTCATCGCCAGAAGGTTGCAGTCGTATGGTTGAAGAATGGGCCCACATCAGTCAAGGTGAAATTATTATTTGGATTGATTTTAGAATACCCGTTCGAGAATTATTTGAAGTATAACATAATGTTTAATTGTATTTTTGATGATGTATGCCATACTATGATTAAATAATAATATACTGATTACTGTACCTTGTTAATGTAGCAGTAGAACTACAAACGTCTACACCATCTAAGCAATCAGATGACATGACACTTATACTCAATGAGTCTCCCATCCTTGGCAGTAAGGAACAAACAAACCATAATGAAAGAGCAGAAATGGAAATAGATGTGACCATTTCCAGTCCCTCATTTTATGAGAGGTGAGTTCAAATAGTTTACATGCTCCTGCTTTGTTTTATTGACTCATCTTTGACTTTGTTGTCAAATTCAAGTTTAAAGTAATAAAATATCTTGCAGTAGCAAATGAACTGGAAAGCAAATTATTTTATTTGTGGTTTTAAATGCCAAGATAATTTACAATTGGTCAATCAGGCTACAATAAATGCATTCATGTATCTGACTAAGCCATTTATCCTGACTACCTCATTCTTCAAAAAAAGAAGTGTACTGCACATAAAGACACAGAATAGATATATTTTACGTGCTGGAGTGCACATGGCACTTTGTACCTATGTTTGGCCTATGAAAAACTTCTCTGTGTGCACTCCAAGTGGCATCATATGATGGTGTATGTTATATGTAAACAACGAGTTTGAGTGTTTCATCAGGGGATCCAAACACCTTGGTCCCCTGATGAAACACGAGAAACGAGCTGTTTACACAACATCTCAAACGAAAACATTTCATTGGCTTATATATATTATTATAGTATATTGTTGTGTGTTGACTTGAATTTGTAATTAGGATCTCAGTTATTAGATGAAAACCGTTTTTCATCTAACAACAGTGATGGTATATGATTTTTAGCGTGTTTCCTTGCGGTATCCAACCTCAATCATGTGACGAATTAGGGTGAGTTCATTCGCTAATTTGCTCATGAATTATTAATGAGTTTGAGATTTTCATGGCAGCACTCGTAAAATTTAGTATCCAGTATCTATTCTGTCATAAAGAGTTCAGAAATCTGTTTTTATACTATTTGAATTGTAGTTTTGATACTGAGAGGGAAGCAAATACATCAATATTTTCAGATGATGAAGAGGACTTTTTGGAAGACACAAGTTCTGACGAAAGTCTCAGGTACGTACAATTCCAAAACCTCTCGGGTCTATGCAGTATTATTATATACACAAGGTCTGGATATGAGGTATTCTGCAATCTGATTGGTTCTCTACTAGCAGGATATTAGCTCATATCCTGCTAGTAGAGAAAAACAAAATGACGGCCAAACTGAATTTACGATGTTTTGCAAACGAGAAAACGGCAAGTTGTCGCTTTTTATAGCCTTCACAGGATTAAAAACACAATGAAAAAACTCCCACCAATTGTTTTCAGGTTAGCAAATAATTTTTTAAAATTTAAAATGGTTAAAAATATATATTTTTGAAAAACTAATTGGCCGAAAGAACGAAGATAAAAACAAAAACAAAATAGAAAAATATTGAAAATGTCCGAAAAGCTAAGTCTGTGAATTCAGACCTTGTGTATATAATAAAACAGTTATTCCACTCACTCTCGTTGAATATGAGCGATAGCCGATTCAGCGCTACGCGCCTCATCGGCTATCAGCTCATATTCGACTCGAGTTCGTAGAATAACTGTTAAATAGTATGTTCAATAACTGGAATGACACTTACGTTTTTTGAATCACAGGATATACTGTATATTTTACCAGATATTTTAATAATACTGTTTAAAAACAGTTATTTCATGAGGTTTTTGTGATATCTAGGTCGAGTTATCAAGGTTGAGGTAAGTGTTATCAGTTGAGCCAAAGGCGATCACTGATAATACTTATTAGGCATGAATATAAAGTGATACACAATTTCAAACTAGATAATCATAAATCTAAAAAAAAAAGATAATCAATTTATTTTTGGATTTCTTACACCCTTATGGGAGCATTGTCATTTTTTGATAATATGGATTGTGATTTGTGAAGTGGTTGATTCCAGTTATTAAACAATCTAAAAAGAGATCATGGGGTCTACTTTCCAACCCCCATGGCATATGTAGGTCTTCTATTGCTGGTTGTAATTTCTTGTTGTTGACAGGCATGATGAACTCACCCATTCAGCAATTGAAGCTTTAAATGCTGAAGAAAAGCATGAGGAATACGAGTAAGAAATTTTCTTTGTGTTTAATACCATTCAACAGTTTAACTCATTGGTGCACAGTACTCTTTCCTTGATGACTTAAATCACATGCCATTAGACAGAGTAAAATAATAAAATTGGGTGCATTCCATTGTATTGGAGCTTAATTAGGGAGCATTCATTTTTTAGCTGGGGGGGGGCGGAGGAATTTGGGGGGGGGGGGTCAGCTAATTTTGATGTGCTTCAAAGGGGTGGGTCTTCTTATAGTTTTGGTATAAATTGAGGGGGTCAAAAAAAATCGGTGAAAAAATCACCAATATAATTTTATAGAATTTGGAAAAAATATGGATCAAGAATGGTAAAAAGGTCTAGAATCTATCAACTATCTCATCTTTAACAAAGAAGCACAATTCACAAAATTTCTATTTATAGTCTTTTCTAAACAATTAAAACTATGAATTTCAATGTATTATTACTTTTACCTTCATGTAAAATCTACCCACTAAGTCTAGGATTCCTTACTGCTATCATCTTCAGAATCCTCACTGCTATCTTCTTCAGAATCAGGTGTATCATGCAGCTCACCAGGTAATAAATCTGCAATAAATATTTTAGCTTCCTCAGTTATACTATTAACAAATCCCGAGTTCACGGCATTATACAATACTTGTGATTCTCGTTTTTTTAAGCTTTTGACCTCTTCAATTATAATATCTTGAGTATCAACCTTTTCGAAAAACACAACTGAAGGTGCTATCTTTTGCATCACTGCCATAAGTTGCTTTTCAGATCTTGCTCTTTTTCTTTTGTCTGCCTTCTGTTTGTTCTGTTTTCTTTTCCTAGCGTGTGAAACAGGTGCCTTTTTAACTGGTAAACACTTGGTATTTTTCCTCAAGTTGAACAACAAGTTCAGAGATGTCTTTTTGCAATTCATTTAGCTGTGCAATTGCTGACAAATTATAGTTGTGATGTGGCACTTTGCTACGTTTAACCAACATACCTTTATTTTCAAATAGACTTTGATGAATGGTAGCTAGGTCATCTTTCATCTTAATCACCTCTGCCTTAGATTCATTTAACTTACTAATGTGTTGTGACAAAACCCTTGTATCATGGGATTTTGCGATATAAGACTCTTTCAAATACCGACCACAAGCTGCAGGATTTTCACCTTTCATGAATTCAATTTTTTTACTAATTGATGATATTTTTGTAGATGTACCATATTGCCTGCTTCTTTCTTCCATAAACAGCTTGCGGAAAACATTCTCAGCCTGGCAATAAGGCCACACTGCTTCATAAAACACTGGTAAAAGTTTCATGTAGGCCAGTGAACGTTCACCTTTTGGATAAGGAATATAGCCAAGGGATAACTTTTTCCATGGATCATTTATACCAAGTGCTTTGTCAGTCCACTTTAAATTAACAGTATTATTATTAACAGTACGTTCTTTAGATGTTGTAACGCTGCCAGACGTTGTCAAATGTGCTCTTTGTTTTGCCTTTCTCACCGCCAATGCCACTTTTTTCCTTTGTCCAAGTAGTGGAATGTCTATGGAAAACTCTTTCTCGAGAATTTCCTCTGTAATTGTCTCGATAATGACTTCTAGTTCATCATATCCTTTGGAAACAAAATCATCAAAATAACTGCCAATTTCATTTTCTTTGAACCAATCAAACATGACCTTTTCTTTCGAAAAATCTAGGGATTTTCCCTTCTTTTGTCGCTTGATTGCCAACATGAGCTGATGTCTTTTTCCAGGTAAACATATTTGCTGAGAGAACTGCCCTTCTAACAATGTTTTGTCAACATACTCCAGAATCAATTCTATGGAATCAAAGCCATTTGAAATAAAGACTTCAGCATATTCACTAAGATTATTTTTTGTAAACCATTCACGAACCTCCTGCAAGTGCAAGTCCGCCATTTTGAAAATTCAACTACTGAAACCCAGTATGCGCTTGGTAATAATTAGCCTGCTCGCAGGCTAATATTTTTGCGGGAAATATTTAGATTTGAAGGTATTAATTTCAATATTTTTGAAGGAAATTATGGATCAAGATTGTTTCACAATAGAAGGATAGGTAAATTTAAATTAAATTAGATTTATATATATTTAAAGGACGAAAAAGGAGTTTCAATTTTGTAAAACAAAAGCATTGTTGGGTCTTGCTGGGACTCAGTGTTTATATAGAAACAAAATGGCGGGCTGTGAGAACGAAGAAAGTGAAAACTTGCCGCATCTTGCTTGGAATGGGCTTTAACCTAGGATTTCCTGATCAGGAACATTTTCGAGATGAGTTGTTGAATGATCAGCATGGTTTGCCTGTAGTTATTTGTTCTTATCCTGTAACAGAACAACGATTTGTCCTACTGCTTGGAAATGGACTGAATTTGGGAATGTTTCTACGATTTCTAGCAGAAACAAGTACAACAGACGAAAAGAATCACGTAAACAGAATTGTTTTGTCTGCAGAGTTTGTACATGATGTTTTAAGATCTATGGACACTGAGTACGATAGAGAATGTGCAAAGGTACTACTAAGCGCTGATAAATCACGTTCAGACTTGGATGAACTAGGGATAAAACCAGATACTGCTGTTAAGGCCGTCAAACATGTAAATGGTGTTGTTCATGAAAGTAAAAATGCAGAACTTGCAGCAATCGACATGCTGAACTCCTGACTTCAGGAGCGAAAACATAAAATCTCAAGGGAATTAGAAAACATTAATGCTTTGATACCCAAGAAGAAAGATCATTGGCCAAAAAAGCGAATAGAAGACCTTGAAGAGAAGAAAATATTACACGAGGAAAGACTAGCAGAAATAGAAGTCATCAAAAAAAGAGAAAGCAAGTATGGCAAGCAGCAGTTCAAACAGGGAGTGAAACGAATAGCTGACAAGATAGTCGAAGAAAATCGCACAAAGCGTAGAAAACTTGGACAGGGAGCCTCTCGAAAAGTTGACAGTGATGATGAAGAATTCATTGTAAAATGTATCAAAGACAAAGCCACAGCCCATGGCAGACGTCATGACTCTGTTCTTTATTTAAATCACAGGATGAAAACTAAGGACTTTAGAGACAAAGTTAATTACCACCGGGACAGAGTTAGGAAAGAACCCAATACGTTCTAGTACAACAATCTACAATCGTTCTAGACCAAAAAACAAGAGAAAAAAAGCCACCCAAAACAGAAGATAAATCTAATGTTTGCACACATCACCAGCGATATCATGCAAAGAATGGAAAGCATGCAATGTTTGGAATAAAAAACAAAGATGCATGGCATTTTAATCTCATCATAAGCAAAGATGATAAAGCCTACATTAGACCGGGAATAGATGTGGGAATGACCGGTGCACGAAATCAAGTGATTTTTCAACCAGCAAATGAAGGGCGAGGAAGCTTCCTCAACATGACTTTGCAAATCCCAAAGTGTATATTTCTCCAGCTATGCATCGCTTTATTGAGAAAGAGGGTGAATTAGTTGGTGACAAGGAGGTTCTTATGACAAAGAAAGACAAAACGGTTGTTATGGTGCGCCCAAAGTTTTATGTTCCAAGCGATGGAACAACCTGGGCTTCTGATTACATGTGCCTTAGACATGAACACCCTGATCTCTTTGAAGTTGATTCGGACTTGGATTATAATAAATACTCAATTCCATTCCATTCCGGAAACTATGTGCTGTTTTAAAGGACAACGTTGGATATTTTATTCAGACGAATATGAAGGAAGATGTCCTTTGTGTAACTGGGGAACCAGAATGCTGTTTTATGTTGTATGAGCAGAAACATATTCAACATTTATTGCATTCTTTGCAAAAGGCCAAGGAGATATTGGAGCTAGAAAAGGTACATGTGGAACCAGCAGAAATTTTGTTAGGCAATGAACTTACTGGTGTAGACATCATAATTCAACTCACCGAGGGACTTCAAAAGGCTCTAGATGATCTTCAAACAAAATCTGGAGATAGTCTTTGGAATATTTATGAAGAACTTACAAATCTTGAAAAGAAGTTGCTACAAAAAATTTCCGAATATAAACTTGCTCCAGTGAAACCCAACATATTGGAACTTACAGTTGGGGGACCAGGTGTCAGAGTCAGCAACTTTGAAGTAAGGTTCAGAGATGCTGAAATTGCTATGCTACACAAATCAGATCGACGAACTAGAATTCACCGTGCTACAAATGACTTACAAAAGAAGTAATGCGTGCATTGGCGATGCACTGGTTGATGGGGGAAGTTTACATTGTGAATATTACAAAGAATTAGAAGGCTTGCAGAAGATGAAGTAGCTGAAATGTCTCTTAAAGAGGTAGAGGAATTTGAGAATAACAGGATGGTTAAAAATGCATGGCGAGTTGCGGAAGAGGTTCATATTCGTATCAATGGAGAACCAGCACCAAAGGGTTTTATTGCATCTGCTGTCTCGGAAAGACCTGGTGTCGAATTCTTTTATAACAAGGAGTGGCTAATGAAATACAACATTACTTCAACTACGAAGTGGCCTGAAGTACCTGGGCATTCATACTTCCAGAAAATTGAGAAATTCTTTGAGATGCATTATGAAAGAGGAGAGTTATACATGGAGTTCCTCAAGAAAGATTGCTTGTCGAAAGTGGGAAGATCATGTAATGCCTGCACAGAGTGGATAGGCCCTGAGTCTCCAAAGCGAACGCCACGTCCTTTTCCAGACACCTCTTCTTCTCATCATTATCTCCCTTTAGAGAAAACTCCCACCATTAATGTTGATGGTAGCACGAGAGAGCCTGACGATTTCCAACCAAGAGCACAATTGCGAAAATGTTTTTTAACAAGGACATAAAACTTGGTGACAGTGAGGAAATTGAAGCATTTTCAAAACAGTACATTGTAGGGGTTGATTTATTAGAGGAATATCTTCAACACCTAACCAACATAGAATTAAGAAAATTAAAATGAAAGCAAGAAAAGGAGAAGTTGAAGGTGAATGAAGCTTCAAAATCTTACAGTGACTATGACTGGGAGAAACTTTACAAAACAGGAAGGCTGAAAAATCTTAGAGTATGCGAACTTGATAAGTATGTGCAGCATTACAAATTGACCACCAGGAAGCTGACGAAAGCAGAAAAGCTTCAGTTGTTGTCAGCTCGCATTAGCCAGAGAATCTGTCAGAAAATAATATCAAATGCCAAAGCAACAACCTCGCAAGCTCCTTTCAGTCAGTCAGAACATGATTCACAAAGTAGTAGCAGCTCACAAGAGTCCAGTAGTGATGATGAAGTACCGAACGTATTTGGCGGTTACTCGAGAGAACATGACTCATTTGGAGATGTGATAATGGATGAGGATAGCGATGAGGATGACTTTCCAGTGCGTGAGATAACAGTAAACCGTTATGGACGAAAAGTTGGCAGTTGGAGGTCACGCTGTACACAAGATGAATAAGGTAGTTCCGAGTGTCAGCTTCCAATTGTTTAAGCCTATGTGCACACGGTATCGTTTTCGAGCGTTTTCAAATGTGTCTTTATCACTTTTAGTCCATAGAAAAACATTTCCATGACTTTCGTCAATTGACCTCATTTTTATCCGTTTTTGTGTGAAAAATGAATGAAAACGCTACGGAAACGTCACTGTGTGGATTTAATAGTTAGGATAAGGGGTCAAAAAATTTTTCAGTAAAAAAATAGGGGGTCATAATTTTTTATCAACTTTTCTGTCGGGGGTTCCAAGTTTTAGCATGGAATTAGACGTCAGTGTGAACGAATGCTCCCTTAGTTAATATTTTCCATTATGTAATATTGAAATAGTTTTCAAATGATGCACTACCTATATTACTATATACTATTCTATCTGAGTGATCAATTCTCAGGGCTGAGCCAGAGTGTGGAGATTGTCAATGCGATTCGCCTGGATTTCACACCAAGAATTTGTGCTACTTTTTAGTGGAAGTAAATTCTAATTAACATATTGCATGTTGAAGTGGTTGATAAACGTCATGTTGATAAACGTCAAATTGATAAACGTCACGGTCGATAAACGTCATATTGGTTTTCAACAATATGGAATGGGAAGGAGTTATGAAATCCTTACAAAAATTGCAAGGAGATTTACATATTGAGTTGGTTACAGATGCATCATCTTTCATCGGGAAATTACTAGGTATCAAGAAATTGCTTTTTATTTTTTGTCTTTGGGCTTGCATATCTCATTCTGCATTTTTCCCAAATGCACCTGACTCTGTTGTATTACTATTAATACATGTCTAATGTTCAATTGATTAGTTACTATCCAATGTAACACTTATTTACTGGATTATTACTGTGTTTTTTTGTTTCAGAAACTGAATTTAAGGACATTGTACACAGTCTAGATGTTTGGCCCAAGTCAAAATCTATTAAGATGTGTCTTGCAAAGGTTAGCCAATGTCTAAACAGTTGTGTGAATGATTGTAAATTCCAAAATTCTAAGCATCAAGAATTGAATGCACGTGGGATGAAGCCATTGTCAATTGAATGTGGTCACATGTCATTTATACTGTAGTGAACTTAATTTTCCTCACCCATACTATTTTTCTTAATTTTGTACACCAAAGGCCATGAGCAAAGTCAAAGACTGGTCAAACCACGTTGTTCGACACTTCTGGCATTGTGCCAGTGAATGTCAGAAGGATGATTCTACATCTGATGCTGAGGCATTAAGAATAATGAAGGTATAGTAGCTCTTTTATTGTCCAACATATACTGTACACAAAATGAAATCTGGGCACATATTCACATCGGCCTTGTACCACTACCCATGCACTTCAGTGTTCATATGCAGATCAGTGGCTAATGAGCAGGGGTGCTTGTTTCACATTATTTTTACACTGGCCTGTAGGCCAAGTGTCTTAAATCCCTCTTTTTCTGTTTTTTTTTCGTAGTTGATAAATCGAGTTTGCGGTAGCTCATCGCAGGCTCCGGCTGCAACGATTAAGCCAAAATGCCTTCGATACCTCTGTTCCATAATTTATATACTACAGTAAAAAGTTCGTATTTATGTACGTAATAGCCGGCTCATGCCATGCTTGTCGTACATTTTTTGTTTATTAGCCCATACACTTGTACACACGCGCACAATTCCGAACTCCGACGGTAGAGAGCGCCAGTGCTCCAGTGACATATTCAGTTCAGTTTCACAATTGCGGCTTTTCACTGAGCTATCTAATATGTACGGTTCGATTTGTTTTTGGAACAAGATCCAACTTTCCCCCCAACTTTTTAATTCTCAAATGTTTATTTGATGTTTACTGGTTGGGGTTAGCCCCGCGTGCAGGCCCAAGGGAAGAATAGTGGGGTGAGAGAAGGGTTTGGGATCAGTTTATCTTATAACTGGCAGCAAATTGACGAATTTTTTGGAAGAATCGTCTATGTCTATAAACTTTTTAGCACCTGAAACGAGCCATATAATGGCATTAAAAATCAAGGACAATAGAATTTATTCGCTGTTATTGACCCATCATTATTTATGGTTGATAGTTGATGATCATAGTTACAGTGGACCTGGCTTGTCAGGTTGAATTGCCCGTAGCCAGAGCGGCAGAGGGTACGCCTGAGCCGGCGTCTTGGTATATTATGGTTGATAGTTGCTAAATCATGATTGTATTTATTGGTTGTATTTATATGGTCCAGACCCCCTGTTTCCCTATTTACTTCTCTACTACACATTACACCCTCCACGAAAGTTGCCATTTTCAGGCCAGTGTGAACGCCTAAGCAGGCATCTTGTTTTATTTGTTTCACATGCACAGGACAAGTGGTTTGGGCTTCTTCATCATATATGTAATTTGCATGAATGGTTGGGTGGTAAATGTGAGCATGGAGATGGAGAACATGAAGAGACTCTGCCTTGGTTTGATAGACAGGACAAAGACTTTGTCGAATTACAAAAGATCCTCAATCCAAAACTTCTAGACAGTTTCAAGTACTATACACAGTTTAGGTAAATATTCTTTATGGTAGCATTTACAAAAAAATCAACATTGGTCCAAACATTCTATTTTTCCTGTCCCACAGACACACATGTGGAATTGAGTGTGCCAACAGCCTCAGTCTGGTGTATACACCCAAGAGAGTGCCATTAAGGTTAGTAATGGCCTTATAACATTGTGTTGTACCAAGAGTCTGGTACAAATATAACAGTTATAATGGATCATTGCAGATGATCCGCCCCCCCCCCTCCCCGTGATGAAGCCAGCCTGACAGTTTGGTTATGCTAAAATATTTCTGTGTTCATTGAATGTGAAAACAATCAATTTCTGAACAATCAAATTCTGAAGAATAATAATTGGAAAATTTGCATAACATTACCAAATTGTCAGGCTGGCTTCGCCACTACCCCCCCCCCC